CACCTAATGCTATAAATGGCCCTTGTGCAATCTCAGTGGAAGGAGAAGGTTTTAGGGTATTTTCCTCCTTGCTGACCTGACTATCTGCACACACACACACGTATACCTATTTTTTATTAATTAGAAATAAGAGGAGAAAAAACATGTAATAACAGACATATTAGAAAAGTGTACACTCCAAAAGGGAGAAAGAGTATAAAAACACAAAGAACAGTAGTTGCACGTTAAGTATTTATTTCTCAAAGGAAACAAATGAAATTGGGGGCTTATTAGCCATTTTGTTACTTTTTATTTTAGACAAACACAGAAAGCATATGCACATCTGACAAAAAAAAGGATTCTATTCAAAGTTTCTCTACAAAATTCATGAATGTAGCATTAAATTGCTTGACAAGGCTGGAAATGTAACTATTATTTAATTCTTTAGTTATTCTGTCATTGTTGACATGGTTTATTTCATGTATTCTGACCTTCAAATCAACACAAGCCTTACTCTGGAACACTAGCTCTCTTTTTTCAAGGACACTCTAGAATCTATCTATGTTCAAAATCTGCTATGGCTATTTGTTTACTTTGTTCTTATCAAGTTTCACACCTGATAAAAATGCTAGTACTCTTCATGTATTTTTGTCCATAAGTTTTTAAGCATGAACCACACTACAAGAAACTACCTTGCTTATAACTTCTACTGCATGCCATATTTTCTGAATAAATCTCATAAAGAGCACGAATCTGCCAAGATTTGCTGAATGTCCTGACTGCAGAACCAACTGCATCTTGTGTAATGAAGAATCAAGCATTCAGCACACAACAGTGACAGAAAAGCCTAACTCCGTGATACAAAAGCCATTTCTCCCACTATAAACACTCAAGTCTTTCTCTTGTGGAACTTCTTGCAAGTGTCAAGCAAGAGTAAAGCTACCTGCATTGGTATTTATCCTACTAAGAGAAAGTAAAGAAAGTACTACAGCCACCCACAGAGGTAAAATGCCCCAAGGCACACTGAGCTTTGCCAGAGAAGGGTTGGATATATTCACCTCTCTGAACCAGTTCTTCCTGTCAGCAGAAGGGAGCCACGCTCCATAGCCTTTGCAGTCTAAATTATTTGAGTGCCATGAAAATAATCCATGGATAGCTGGAAACAAGGAGTTAGCAGTCTCTGTCTTCGACAACTGCATGTCAAAGGCTAGAGAAGAGGTGGCAGGGAAGAGAAACATCCCTGCTGTTGCACTCTCTGTATATATTTTGTACACTTCTGCCCCTATAAATAAATCAACACTTTAGTAAGGACTTTGATCCCATTATATCGTGGAAAGGGAGTAAATTTCTAAGCCAGCAGTCCTCTGAGTATCACAAGTAAATGGGAACTGAGATAGCCTTTGATATGATTACCTAGAGATTAACCTAACTAAATATGAAACAAACATAAAGCAGAACACAAAGGCGGCTAGGGGCAGCCTTCACTGACAGGATGTAACTATCTGTCCCTAATAACAGCAACCACGTTTAGCTTCATTACGTCCTACTGCAGAGGTGATCTTGGTCTTTCTACAGCTTTCTTCTGGGGAAAAAAAACCCAGATTATAAAAATAACATAGTTTAGAACATGTCACTTCCAGCTATAAATACAGGGCTCTGCTTGGGCCATGTGAGCTTATGCCACAAGAGCCAGATCCACAAAAACAACAGGGATTTCATCATCTAAATTTAATCTCTGCAGAAAACATGGGAACACAAGAACACAGTTCTACAAGCCTGGTTTACTTGTGTGGTCTTATTGCTATCAATGGTTCTATTCACGTGAGTATGGAATGAGGAATGGGATCCAAGTGCATTACATCAGCAAAACTAAGAGAGCCCCAAACTACCCGCAACACATATATTGGTAGGAAAGGCAACAAGACTATGACATATCTTGTTAACAAAAAGCTTCCTTCCCAGATAACATAAAATAAATGGATGGTCTCAATGGCCAGGTTTTTATCACACACTGAAATCACAAAGTCGCCGACTTGGCCCATTTAAAAAAAAAAAAAAATCACAAACAAAAAAAACCTCTTAATTTTTTTTTATATGTGAGAACAAAATCTATCTCTTTCTGCTATTTCCAGCAAAGCTTCTTATTTCACAGAAAGTTCAAACTTTGACCCGTGTATTAAATTCCCAATAGCAGCTCAGAGCATCTCTCTTTGTTGAATAAATCCTCACAAATATAGCCCTGGACTGAAATCTGAAGTATCAAATGGTTGCCTGTAAGAAAAGGTGCATTGTAACACTTGGCTAATATCCGCACTCTTTTAAAAAAAAAAAACACAAAAAACCACAAACTTCTAAACAGAATACATCTAAGGCAAAGATCCTGCTTCATACTGAAATTCTGTTTCATCTGTGATGGCAGGGTTACAAATGCTAATGTATAATTACTTATGTAGAAATCATGGCATAGATTTATTCTGGGACTTGCTGCATTTCAAAATGGTACAAGCATGATTTTTCATGAAAGCATGGGAAACCACCAGAGCCATTAAAGTATAAAATAAAATAAAAATTTAAAGGTAGAGAAATAGAAAGAAATACACAGATAACAATGAATATGCCACACCACCTACTATTGAAAGGCAGTTGCAGAAGAAGCATAAGAACACAGTGAAAACCTCCATTGCTTATCCCTCAAAAAAACTGTGGCAAAAAGAAAACCTATAATAGCATGTACTTATTAAATAGAAAATAACATAAGTATTCAAAGTAGGAAAATACAGTGTTCAAAATATATATATAAATATATATATAACAAATACAAATTATGTACCTATAAACCATAACTATTACAAAGCTTTCATGTGAGAAGTGGTTAAGCAGGACACTAGCATGATGTACCTATTATTAGGCATTTTTAATCAGCATGTAAGAACTGGTAATTTTATTAAGGTCTTCAAGCACTGCAGAAGTTTCAGAGAACTCTGGAAACAGCCAGCATGTATCAATATATATCTTTACATACTGGCTAATTTAACTAACTATATATCTATTAGTTTGATGCAATCCAAGCAAAATAACAGACAGTGTCATGCAGAATTCAGTAAACACAGAAATATATACAATAAATGTAGTTACTTTTTAGGAAAAATAGATTTTTTTCAGAATAATATAAAAAGACATGTTTGGTTGGTAAACATAAAAGTGTATGCTCAAGACTTCAAGATTAACTGTTGATTCCATAAACAGAAATTCAAAAATTAAAATAATCCCACACTAATCTTACACACACCAAAGGATGAAAAAATTATTAATTCACAAATCTCAAATGTAATTTAAAAATGGAGAATCATCATTAAAAAAGTGATTCTACCAGGGTTCTGTGAGCCTAGTCTTGGCCCTGCACTACTTAAACTTTTGATTAATGGCATAGAAACAATATATAATTATTACTGGTGAGGTTTGAAAGTTATGGGAAAGCAGCAAATAATGAAGACTGATCACTAATACAGACAGTTTTTTGTGGTGGTTGTATGCAACTAAGTGTTTTAATACAAAATATTAAATCAGTCATATATAACAAATACTATGTGCTATCTCAGTGTGAAGGGTTAAAGTAACCTTCGAATACAAAACCACCAGCACTTGCCCAGAGCAGGAAAGTTTGAATTTCCCAGTGATACAAGATTCATTGTCTAGCTTTGCTCACAGATGAAGGATTTTCATATACTGGGAAGGATTCAGAGGAGATCCACGAGAATTATTAAAATATTGGAAATCATGTCAAATAGTCAGGCAGCTTAACACGTTTTGCTTTTACACTGACGAGGTTAAGGGATGAATTGATCTCAATCTAAAAGTACCAAAACAGGGAGAGTTCTGATTAAAGAAGGGTCCTCAGCTTAGCACACAAGGTACAGCTACCAATGGCTGAAGATAAAGCTAGGCAGTCAAGATTAAAAGTAACTGCTCTTTTCTCTTTCTTTTAACTCCATTTTAAGCATAGCCAATTATTTGAAAGGCTTGTTGAGAGCTGTGACTTTTTCCCCATCACTGGGAATTCTGACAACGCAGACTGCATAATGCCTCAGGAGACATTTTCTGATCAAAGCAGCAATCATCTCTGGTGATCCTTCCCCTCTGATACACAAGCTTCACTAGACCATCACAGCAGTTTGGATTCAGGAACCCTATTCAACAGATGTACTGGCCTAAATCCTCCTGTAAACTACCTATGCACTATTTTGTTCTTGGATCAGCTGTGTGAATGCTATTCATTTTATGTGATGTAAACCCCCTTTAAAGGATGCTCCAGCTTGTGGCAGTTGTGAACAGCTCAAAAACACCAACAATGGAATCTAAAGATTAACACTATTATTACCTTGCTAGTTCTCCATTCCCAACCATCTCCTATCTGCTGTGAATGCTTAATAAATTCTTCACAGTACTGCTTGAAACTTTTTTCTTCCAAAAAGAAGTCCTCTTCACCTGCCATGCTAGATGACATCTGCAGAGCAAACTGTATGTTAGTACTGACAGATAAAATGAACACCAAGACCTTTCACTGATACAGCAACCAAATAATAAAATAACAAAGCACTGGGGAAAAAAAAAAAAGGAAAAAAAACCTGTTTCTTCAAGTACAGTAGAGAATCACAGATACACAGAACAGCTGAAGTTGCAAGAGACCTCTGGAGACTGTTTATTCTAACCCCCCTGCTCACAATAGGGTCAAGTAGGTTGCTCAGGATCATTTCCAGTTAGGTTTTTATTATATCCAAGGATGGAGACGCCACAACTTCCATAGGCAACCTGTTCCAGTGCTCAATTACCACAGAAGTTAATTTTTCTTCCGTTTAAGGGGAAAAAAAAACAATGTATCAGTTTGTGCTCACTGCCTCTTGTGCTTTCACTGCAAGTGAGTGACATAAATTATTTACCTAGTACCTGAAAACACGTTATTTTCGATGGCAGTTAAACCAAGGCCCTGCTGATCTGTTTATGCTACCCTGGATGTCAAGGAAATGTGGAAAGGAGACACTGTGAATGTTTCTGTGACGCTGCAACGTCCCGGCTCGGTAAGTGCCCCTGGTGAGAGCTCAGCTCTCACACACCACTCAGCTACGTGCTTCAGGAGACAAGCAGCCGCACAGACACGCCAGGCTGCCAGCACCTCTGCCTTCTTGCTCCTCAGCGTCCCCGAGAAAAGCAACGAGCAGCCGCCAGCAAATCACAGGCGGGCAATACTAGGAGACCTACCAAAAGCAGTACTTTAGTACATTTTAAATGAACTACTGATTTGAACCATACTCTGTCCTGAAATAGCATTAGTCTATCTATCTGTTTGCTTTTGATTAAGTAATATTTTTTCTGCATTGCAGGTGCTCAAATACCTTTGTAACCTAGAGCATGTTTTGTCTTTCAAAGGATTTTTTCAGAAACTGCAAAATGTCACATTTGTTTCCAATGCAATGCTACTGCACATGGTCCATCTGGATTTTTTGATACAATACTTAATGCATACTCAACCCAATTGAAGCAAATAGTGCTCTGCTCAGGTGGCTTTAGGATTTGAATGTGGATGACTCACAACTTCTAAGCAAAACGTGGTCTGTGATGTCACAAGGACTCTTGCTGACTGCTGTAATGCAAGTCAGAGGAACTGAAAGCACAACTTTCAAGTGGCCAACTGTGGAAAGAATGAGAAAACCTGCTGTACCCTGAAGAGTCTAAGCTGACTGCTGTAATAAGATGTTTGGGTGGGAATCATAGAATCATAGAATCTTAGGGGCTGGAAGGGACCTCGAAAGATCATCCAGCCCAACCTCCCTGCCAGAGCAGGGTCACCCAGAGCACATCACACAGGAACGTGTCCAGGTGGGTTTTGAATGTCTCCAGAGAAGGAGACTCCACAACCTCTCTGGACAGCCTGTTCCAGTGCTCTGTCACTCTCACAGTAAAAACATTTTTTCGGATATTCACCTTGAACCTCCTATGCTCCAATTTGCACCCATTACCCCTTGTCCCATCACTGGTCATCACTGAGAAAAGCCTAACTCCGTCCCCTTGACACTCACCCCTTACATATTTGTAAACATGGATGAGGTCACCCCTCAGTCTCCTTTTCTCCAAACTCAAGAGACCCAGCTCCCTCAGCCTTTCCTCATAAGGGAGATGTTCCACTCCCTTCATCATCTCTGTGGCTCTGCACTGGGCTCTCTCAAGCAGTTCCCTGTCCTTCTTGAACTGTGGGGCCCAGAACTGGACACAATACTCCAGATGCAGCCTCACCAATGCAGAATAGAGGAGGAGGAGAATGAGGGGGAGGAGAATTCCCTGAATGTGAAGTTAAAGTGGCCAGGTCATCTTGTAACAGAGCCTGAGGGGATAATTGGCAAAATGCAGTTGTCTGGATGAAAATCAGAAGAGTTCAGAGCCCCCAAAATGTCTTCTGGAACTAATTCCAGGAGGGAACCAACTCGGATTTCAGTGCTCGTTCTGTTGCCCAGCTGTGCTGTCTCTGTAATTGCTCTCAGATATGAGCACGTGCTGCGTGCACGGAAGCTGTTGTGCTGCACGAGTCTGGCAAGAGTTGTTCTTAAATCCATGAGCCTGCTAAGCCACACGTTTATTTCAGTAGCAAGGCCTTGCCTGGCATGACTGACACTGTCCGAACTGATACGTGCAGAATGCACGATATTTGCCTGGCTTTACGCGGAGTGTAAAGTGCTGGGTTTGCGTATTTAGCTGTAAACTGCCGTGAGGAAGAGTTCTAGGACTGTTGCTCTTGAGAGGAAACAAGAGCTGTCCCATCAGCTTGGGAGACCCTGCTGCTCCAGTGGGGAACCTGCACAAGCAAATGGTGCTTTTCTCTGGCTGCTTTATAACCCGGTGCTTTCCAGTCTGTGCAGCTCCAGATTTGCTTGTAGTTTGCTGGGTGTGGAGACCTCACAAGGGCCAAAGCCTTTTGCTGGAATATTCCTGGGATAAACCATTTGTATTTAAGATAAAATTCCGTTTTCTAGGTTTTGGCTGCAAGCAGCTGAGTTCTTTAAATATGTACCATGATTCATGTTTTTGCTACTCTTTGTGAGCAATAAAATGTTCCATCTGAGTCTGTAGCTTTCTGTATTAGGTATATATAAGAAAAGTTTCATGAAGGTGTTCTGGAGAATGATTAATTGTGTGATGTACTTGAACAGATTACAGTGCCTCTACAGATTACTATTTTGACTGCATATATTATTTTTGAGAGCAGTTGCATAGCTTGGGTGATGCCATTATAGCTGCAAGTTATGATGCAGTCATTATTTAATAATCAGAATTAATTATTTACATTGTTCTGCACTGTTTCTTTAAATATTGGGGTTTTGAATTTTGGTAAGTAAACACCATGTTGTCATCCAACCCTGAGTTTTGAAGGAGGATTTTTTTGCATTGTGGAATATATTCTGCAAGCCATTTTTGCTAGCAGAAAATGCCTGTGGTATTGAAAAAATGTCACGTAATGTGCATTTGCCTTGGAAGCTGCAGCTCCTGATTTCTAATTTTAGCTTTGTTACTGTCTCTCTGGATTTTCTTAGGGAAGAATCATAGGGTTTAAGACATAGCTCATCTAAAAAGTGGCTGATAGGGCCCTGATTTTGCATTGAAGTTAGCAAAGAAGTTGCCATGACTGGCAGTTTCCAGAAAACTAAGCCATATTTTCCATATATTCAGATCCATTTACTTTATTTAAAATCGTGAGTACACAATTCCTATAAAAACCAGCAACCTCCAGTCTCAACAGTAGTGGTAATTTTTAAAGAGTACAGGCATTAGCCATAGTGTTGGAATATCACAAACGGGCAAGATTTTCTATGAACCTTAAACTGGACAATGATAGTTACATATTGTTAAAAATAATAAACAGTTGAGCTGAATATCCCCCTTTCAGGACTTCCTGGCTTCCCCATGTTGAGCATAACTAAGTCTTCGAGTTACAGAAGGTCTAAAACGCTTAAATTTAAAAACCTGTAATAGAAAGACTATGTGTTTTTATGTAGCCAGGAAACTGTACCTACTAAAGGTGGATTGTAATGTACAGAATGTGAGTATTTTTTGTTCAGGATGCTAGCTAGATCATTTTACACGTGTGAGGTAAATAAAGCCTATCCTAATATCAGGAGTAAATTATTCCAGTTTTTCATCTGGTATAGGCCTGCAGGCCCACATATAAAATTAGCAGCTGATAATTCATATTGGAGTGAGTCAAGGTGAACAAGTACTGATGCTAGGAAAACAGGATTTAATTTTTGATTCCTACAAAATATTATGAACCCAAATTGATATAATCAAACACGCAAAGCTGTGTTTTGATAGTATTCTCCTCAGATGATAGATCGAAGGGTCAATAGGCAGGCTGGCTGGATAGGAAATGACAGACAAGAGCAGACCAATTATAATCTGCCTTGTGTAGAGGACAGACTCAGACCTTAACTTGAAGATTTACTCTAAATTTTAAGAACTCTGTTATTTAAGGAGACTGATTGAATTGAAGAATGAGAGGGAATTTCTTAATGAATCAAGAATGACATATTGTATATTTTTTGGTAAACAACAGAAACTATCCAAAGCTGGAAAAAAAAAAGTGTATATATATAAAAGAAGCTTGCAGCCTCCACTGTCATTTTTGCAGAGAAAAATATATTAAGAAATTGTCCATTTAGAAGCCAAGTAAAAAATAATGGAAGTAGTATCAGTCTTCATGCATTATGGATCACTGGATGTTAATTCCTGTCATTACAAGGCAGATACTTTTGAACAAATTAATAATGACAAGAATTCAAATTCCACCAAAATGCATAAGACTTTAAACAAATGCTGTTTTTTAATTAAGCTGGTAGAAGTCATAACCCCCAGTCATATTGACTAAGATGCTGTGTTTGAGCACCTCTTTCTGACCAGCCTGGCTGACCAGCCTGGCCATCGTGCAGCCCTAACCCTTTCCTTATCTCAGACTGTCCAGGAGTCAGACTTTACCTTCTGGTCACTCTAATTTATGATGGCTGAAATAGTCTTGTCAAAGCTGTTTTCCAATCTGTACCAAACCCTTTCCTGCCTTGGGACCACCTCTGAGCATGTAACGCACAGCCAACAGTGTCATGAGAGGTGTGCCTGTTAAAAAATAAGCATGTGTAGTCTAGTGCATGTTCTATCCCAGCAACTGTGACTTCATGTGTGTTACTCAGGCCACAGCATTGTATGCACACAACATCCTGCACCCTAGGGATGTATATGATCTATATGTTTAATTTCAGGATTTCTGGAGGTCTTCATAGGTGCCTTATCCAGGAATTTGGTTATTTCTTCAGCTTCATTTTGCAAAACCCAGTTGCTTCCCCTGTGGTCCTGAAGGGAGAAATAAATGCCTTTCAGAGATGGATGCTTTTGTAGCCGAGTGAGGTCCTGGATAGCTCAGGAGATGCCACCATTTTGTCCTTAAAGTGTTAAACCCGCCAAAATAGCAATGCAATCTAACTTAGTGAAGGCTCAATGGATGGTAAGGACAGTGTTTTGAACAGTAATATGGGAAATATTGCATTACTATTTTGGCGGGTGTAACACTTTAATGGTCTGTGACACCAAAGTAATGACCATAATGTTTGAGCTCACTGACAAAATCAATGCTGTTACCCATGGAGTGTTACTGCTGCCTGTTATTTTAGTAACAACTAATTTCTCTTGTTAAAGATCATTAAATCCTTCTCTAAGTGCGTAGGTCCCAAGAGAAAAATCAGTTACATACCTAGTAGTGGAACAGTAGGACTGGATTGTGCACTTTGCTGAGTGAAGACACACTGGTGCTGTGAAAATAACTTCTGATGTCAGCTAGGTAAAAGCTGTGAATGTGGCTCTGGACTTCTGTACGCCAGTAAACATTTGCTGGGCTATGAGCATGGACCTGCAATACTGAAAATAAACAGATTTTCTCTGTCAGAAAGTACGCCTGGTGACACCAGTGCAAGCTTCTGAGTGGCAGATTGGCAATTTGCAAGTTTACATGGAAAGAATGTTACTAAATATGTGGCAAGTAGAG